CGGGACATTCCAATTTTCAACGCTGACTCAGCGCTGATCTCAACATTCGTTAAAATTCGTTCCTTTTTTCAACGTTGAGGTAGCGCTGTTGTCAGCGCTGACTCAACACACTCAGCACTCAACAGATATGTTGACTGCTACTTTCCAATGAATTATGGGTAATTGGTAAGACATTTGAATGGAATCCATCTTGCTGAGAATGGAATTATGGGAACTAAGCGCTTCGTACTCGAGTTGGAACGTCGTTGATGACGTCAAATTGTTGACTTCAACACTCAACACTCGCGTTAAAAATTGTAATGTCCCGTTTGGTATTCGTTAGTTTAATCTTATTTTAACTTTAAAAATACTGTAAGAATAAGAAAAATAATTAATTAATAATAAAACGATTTTATTATTATGTCTCATTATACGATTTCATTACATTCCGCAATCGAAAAAGGAAGGTTGCCTGTAAAACTGATTTTTGCATTAATGCATTTATTGTTTTTTGAATATTTTGCGTGCGAAAATTACTTGGATATTATTTTTCTAAAAATATCGTGGAAATAAGGTAGGTTGATACAGAAACTATTTATTGCACATGTACTGTATATGAGCTTCAAAATAAATAAATAAATAAAAATAAATTTCATCAAACGATGAGATCAGCCGATTAATTGTATCGTGTACAATATTTTATACCCCTAAAGAAAATACTAGTTGTACGGTAAAATAAATTTCGTTTTCCCAGTTAAACTTCGCCACTAATTTCTGTTGTGATAAAATTATCAGAGAAAGTGAAAATGGTTTAACACGATTTTCTAACGACAGCACTTTGCATTTCTTTCGTTTTTCGGACATTTTCCAACAAACTAAAATGAATTTCCTTTGTTACTAGACTAATTTATTAACACTTGCACCTAATTTCAAGGGTGGGTTCGAACGAGAGTTTAGACTAATTTGTGAGATAAGCAGCGGGTCACGGGTTAATCCCACAATGACCACTTACTCTGCACGGGCTCGTGAAGCCCGATCTCGGCGTCGTCGGATGGCTAGGAGGGCAGATCGAGTGGAGGAGTGCGTCGGAACGTTGGCAGGTGCCGTTTAGACAGGAGACAGGTTTAAAACTAAACAAGCATTTATTATAGAGTTAACTAAGAACTACAAAAGCTTAAATGCGAATATATCTCAACCTATTTACATAAATTCGAGTTCGAATTTCCGAGTTCGAGAGAGAGCGCCTCTACAAATTCTAAATACCTCTCGGTGAGATGGAAAGTCGGCGAACGTTTTCTAAATGGAAGGGTGTGTCTTCGTGTCTTCTATCCGAGGTCCTCTCTCTATAGCTGTATCGGGTCGCTGAATGGAGGTTCGGGAGTTGAGGTGACACCATCACAACTTCCTATGACGAATCGCCCTGAGGTTCAGGAGATTCGAGCTTTTATCTTTTCGTGCGAGAGCTGACACGTCATCGACTGTTGTTGACGATGACGGTGCATTCTTTACACTTAAGTGTAAACTTCCTCAGCTAGTTGTTATACAATCGGTAAAATCAGATCTCGTACAAATTCTTCGGTTTTTTCGGAGTTAATTAACAGAACATTTAGTATTTTTTTTTTTCACGATCTCCCAAAATCCGCGATCTCACAAATTCATTATATTAGGAGGGGGAAACGTTGTTGAGATGGGATCGAACAATAGTTTAGATCAGATACATTCGCGAAAGTGGTCGCTTATTACAGGTGTTGTATGTTGTTTCGGACCAAAAATCGATGCCCGCGGTCGCGTTACACAGATGGTCGTTTAATACAAGAAACTTATACGAAGACTCTATGGATAAACCATTCCGTGCCAGAAAGTTTTGCCCGTTTTGACAGGTGCCCGTCGAATGTAGGTGGTCGCCTAAGCAGTTTTTACTGTATACATTTTTTTTTTTTCAAATTGCAGCCCAATAACTTTCAAAGTGACGGTTTTCTGGAGTTCTGCGTTTTTCTTTTAAACTGTAATTAAAGAAAGTAAAGCATGGCACTTTTTTTTGATAAAATATTTTGATTTTAAAGTCTGCAGGTTATTATAACACTTCAAAAATGATATAGTAATAATGTTTGAATCCGGCGGTAACAGAATAAATGTACCTTAATCATGCATTTTTGTTTGATATACTTGTTACTCCGCAAATAAAATCAATTTCCTTTCGACGTTTTGAATATAAATATCAATATTATTCGGTTTTCAATATCAAAATTTTACAAAAATTTCGATAGTGAGTTCTATTTTATAATAGATAACATGTAATTTTAAAAATATTTAAACATGACCATAACAAGAATTTAATAATAATCTACATACCGCAAGTTTTATTATCTGAATTCAATGTAAACTCTTTGAAACAACCGCATTTCTGCTTTTCATTCTCTATGGTACATGTCTGTTGACATGACGTATCTCCCATTTTGCAATAGTTTTCTTTATTTCCTGAAAACATCTCAAAGTTTACAGTAATCATTTAAACAATTTATTAAATGAAATTTACAAAAAAATTATTTGAGTCAATATTATATATATATAAAGATTCACCAATTGAATCTTGGTTTGATGACTTTTTAATTAAAAAAAAAAAAAGAAAATGTAGTGAATTCCTTACCGACACATTTTTTCGAACTCGGATCATAATAATAATCTTTATCACAGTCAAAACTATATAAAGGTCTACCGAATGAATCAGCTTTTACATTGCATATGGCGTATTCCCCATAAAGTTGTTTACAAATATTTTCATTTACTGTAAAATTTTTAAAAAATTAAATAAAACACGGAATTAGCATCAGTATATAGTGTTATTTTTAAATAATATATAATTCCTATTTAATTTTATAAAACTTTAAAAATTTAAAATACATTTTGAATTTTAGTAAACATACATAAACGTGTAAAGATTTTAATTTCGTATTTTCATTAGTTAAAATTATAGAATAGTTTTCATTGAAAAACAAATATTTATATATTCCAGTTAAATTCTATAAATAGAAACATGCTATTATACACTTTTATTTTAAATAAATTTAACACAAATTGATTAAAAATATCTCTTCGCGCATTGTCCAAATTGTCATTAATATAAAAAAAGAACTTTTAATAATTATTAAAAATATTTTTATGATACTATATAACACTGTTTAAACAACGTAATGAATATAATTACATTAAAAATATATGAAATAGAATTTTGTACGTCGTAAAAAGTAGCTGTTATAATAAATAAGATAAATAGATAAATTTTATGCAGTGTGTAGCGTCTTTGTAATCCAAAACAATAATTGGTAGACGAACGAACAGCAATTGGTTAGAAAACGTTACGTTTTATTTAAAAAAATCCCAGGCATAAAACTAGTAATGAGATACGCGGACGACTAGTTAATAATATACAATAATAGAATAACAAACGACAGTGGCGGACTAAGGCTAAAGCGGGCCCTAGGCAACATTGTAATTCCGGGCCTATTTTTCAGTCATGACACATACTTTGCGTTTGGTAGTTTGGNTGTTAGTCTTTTTAATTTATTTAATTTAAAATATGTTTTCCACCTCAAATTAGTTGTGTCTTGCCCCTGCACATAATACTTTTCCTGTTAGATAGGAATAGACTCTTGCCGGTCATCAACTCCTTCAGGGGGAATCTTAAATTTAAATGGCGTCGTTTCCGGTGAAAAACGGGAGTTCTTATATGGTTAATCGGGCCTCCCGCAGCTAAGCTTCCCATATCTGGTCTCGGCTTTCGTGTATCTACATCCGTTTTGGAGATTAATGAAGGAAGGACACAGACGGACAGTGGGAACTTATGTGTACATTTTTTTTCAAATTGCAGCCCAATAACTTTCAAAGTGACGGTTTTCTGGAGTTCTGCGTTTTTCTTTTAAACTATAATTAAAGAAAGTAAAGCATGGCACTTTTTTTTGGATAAAATATTTTGATTTTAAAGTCTGTAGGTTATTATAACACTTCAAAAATGACATAGTAATAATGTTTGAATCCGGCGGTAGCAGAATAAATGTACCTTAATCATGCATTTTTGTTTGATATACTTGTTACTCCGCAAATAAAATCAATTTCCTTTCGACGTTTTGAATATAAATATCAATATTATTCGGTTTTCAATATCAAAATTTTACAAAAATTTCGATAGTGAGTTCTATTTTATAATAGATAACATGTAATTTTAAAAATATTTAAACATGACCATAACAAGAATTTAATAATAATCTACATACCGCAAGTTTTATTATCTGAATTCAATGTAAACTCTTTGAAACAACCGCATTTCTGCTTTTCATTCTCTATGGTACATGTCTGTTGACATGACGTATCTCCCATTTTGCAATAGTTTTCTTTAATTTCTGAAAATATCTCAAAGTTTACAGTAATCATTTAAACAATGTATTAAATAAAATTTACAGAAAATTTATTTTAGTCAATATTATATATATAAAGATTCATCATTGAATCTTGGTTTGATGACTTTTTAATTTAAAAAAGAAAGAAAATTTAATAAATTCCTTACCGACACATTTTTTCGAACTCGGATGTAAGTAATAACCTTTACCACAATCAAAACTGTATGAAGGTCTACCGAATGAATCAGCTTTTACATTGCATACGGCGTATTCCCCATAAAGTTCTTTACATTTATTTTCATTCACTGTAAAATTTTTACAAAATTAAATAAAACACAGAATTTGTATCAGTGTGCAGTGTTATTTTAAACTATTATATAATTACTATCTAATTTTATAAAACTTTGAATTTAAAATACATTTTGAATTTTAGTAAACATATAAACGTGTAAAGATTTTGATTTCGTATTTTCATTAGTTAAAATTATAGCATAGTTTTCATTGCAAAACAAATATTTATATATTCCAGTTAAACTCTATAAATAGAAACATGTTATTATATACTTTTATTTTAAATAAATTTAACACAAATTGATTAAAAATGTCTCTTCGCGCATTGTCCTAAACGAAAATATCCAAATTGTTATTAATATAAAAAAAAAACCTTTAATAATTATTAAAAATATTTTTATGATACTATATAACACTGTTTAAACAACGTAATGAATATAATTACATTAAAAATATATGAAATGGAATTTTGTACGCCGTAATAAGTAGCTGTTATAATAAATAAGATAAATAGATAAAATTTTCTTTAAGAATATGAACTTTATACTGCATATAAGTTTATATACGCTGTTATCCCTCAACATAACGGAGTGAAAACGTAAAGTGATCTGATAAAAACGTAAAGTGATGGTTCGTTGCATCCAAAGATGTTATTGCCAATTACAGTACGAACTTTATATGAAGTATGATAAAAGAGACAACCTGTCTTATGATAAATACGAAAGTGACGACTTTCAAGCTGACACGTAAAGAATTCTTGTCGACGCACTGCCTAATGTATATCAGAAGTCGACTAACAGAAGCAGTCTGATATTCTCGAATGCTATATTTTCATTCCGGCAGATGCTTTGGAACAAACGAATTTGGAATGTTCTTTCCAAACATTATGATAACAACATTCAAAATATATTCGGAATGTTGTTTTCATAATATACAGGACAGTAAACTAGAGGACATAGGCCTATAGTATATATAAATCTCTGATAAATATATTTTACAGATTTTTTCTAATACTATTCAGAATACAGTATGTTAAGTAATTCAAAACAAAAGATCACTTACCAACGCAGTTTGTGCCATCGTCTTTTAATTCCTCCATACACTTGCATTCACCTTCTTCACATTCTTTAAATGCATTACATACTTTACCTAAACATTTATTTTTATCTACACAAAAATAAATTGGAAGTTTATAAACGTTTATATCTGGACCACATATGAACTTTTAAGATTTTTTAATACGAAAAATTTACTTAAGCACTTATTCTCTGAATAATCATAATATTGTTCCTCAGTGCAACTGCATTCGATTGCGTAAGTATCTTTAATATGTATACAGTTAGCACCATCACCACAAACTTCTTTATTGCATTGATCTTTAACTGAAAAAGTTTACGTATTAAATAAAACTTTTAAAACTTTACAAATTAAATTGAATTCAATGTAAACAGAAAAACAGAAACAAACTTCGACATCTTCTTTCGTTGCTGTCAAAATAATAATCTTTATGTACACAGTCACATGTGATATTTTTTGATTCTACTTTGCATTTTGCTTTAATTTTCATGCAAAATTCATTCCATGTCATTTTAGTTTCATTTTCAATTGTTTCACAAAGATCTGGAAGAAAAAAGTTTATGAACTATTCATAATATTTATTTCAATAATTAATGTCCATAAATATACATGTTTATTATTTATAATTAAATTATTTTCTAATAAATTGCTATTTTCTCTTTCAGAGGGTGACACAGACTGGCAACGTTCTTATCGCGCTGAATTTAGCGATTTAGATGAGACAATAGACACTTCACAATTCAAGTAAGAGGAAATTCAACAGGCTTTCTGTTATCTCAAAAAAAGGCAAAGCTCCTGGCCCTGATGAAATTACTAATGAAATTGCACTCAATCTATGGGCTCTATTTCCGCAACACACATTTAATTTATATAATGTCTGTGTAAATCATTCAAGTTTTCCTCGTGCATGGAAACACGCACGGATTGTCCCTGTCCCAAAACCGGGCTCTTCAAGTGATGCGAGACCAATTTCTCTACTACTTGTATTGGGTAAGATACTCGAACGGTTGATGACCAACAGGCCCAATTGGCATGTTGAACATAATAAATGCCTAAGCAATAAACAGTACAGCTTTCGGCCACAACGATTGGCCGAGGATGCAATTGAATCTATGGTTAATACAGTTAAACGTTTACTTGATATATGTTCTTGGAATGAGCTTAGACATTTCTAAAGCATTTGACTCTGTTGGTGGCCATTTATTACACATCAATTGTGAAAGTTAAAATGTCCTTGTAACATCCTACAACTATTTCAGGATTATTTAAATGACCGTACTGCAACTATACAGTATGGACAGTATCACGTAAATAAAATCATTACAAAAGACTGCCTGTAGAGGTCTGTCTGTGGACCCCTGCTTTGGAATATCACTTTCAATGCCTTAAAGAAATGCTTGGACAAACAGATTCCCTTGCCCAGTGGCGTAGCGAACATAACTGGCGCCCCTCCCCCTCCAGAAACATATACAGTCGACCCCCCTATAATTACGGTCTCTATAGTTACGATTCCTATAAAACTACGAAAAAATAGCTACCGGTATCCGTAAAAAATAGTAAAAGTTCCCTATAAACACCTCAAACGTCATCGGGAAGCCGAACTACTTTCCCGCCGTCCGTAGCGCCACGCTACGGAGAGATTTCTATCGTCTGGACAGTATTATGTAAATTATATATAAATTAGGTACTGTACATATAATTATATATTAATTATATATAAATTAGGTACTGTATATATAATTATATATTAACTTATTGTAACTTTGTTATAATTAAATATATAATTTCCGCCGTCTAGCGTGGCGCCACGCTACGGAGATTTTTACGCTAACTATCGTCTGTCAGTATGTAAATTAGGTACCGTAAGTCTAATACAGTACTGTAATTTTATACATTTCTTGTGAAAGAAACATTTCTTATTCAACGGCGAT